AGGACTGCTTATGATAGGGGACAGGGCACTGAAATTAGTCCCAAAATCAAAGAGAAAGAAACTATTTGATGGAGCGCATGCAGGTGCGTTAGCAGGGCACCTTAACGCTAAGAAGTTGTACCGGAAGTTAAGCAAGGAGTTCTTCTGGAATGGAATGCAAGAAGACATAGCAAAGTGGACAAAAGCTTGTACGAAATGTTTTGTAACGAAAGCACACGAGAAGAATACCCCTCCACTAAAGGCAATCGTGACAAACAAGTCGTTTGAGCTAGTGGGCATGGACCTAGCGGAGTTGGTATTGACAGAAAGAGGAAATAGATATGCGCTAGTGGTGATCGACCACTTCTCCAACTTTGTGGGAGTATATCCCATAGAGGACAAGAAAGCAGAAACAGTTGCAAGGTCATTCTATGAGAGATGGGTATGCGGAGGTTGCCGCTGGCCCAAAGCCATACAGTCCGACCAAGGGCCGGAGTTTGTGAACAGTGTTCTGTCTGGAATCTGTACCATTGTGGGAATAGAACAATTTGTAACGAAAGGTTACAACTCGCGTGAAAATGGAATTACTGAAAGAGTGATTGGCACACTGACCAGGATGCTGAAAAAGCAGACAATAGTACCAGCAGAATGGGACACCTTACTGCCCATGGTAGTTTTTGCATATAATTCAGCACCCCATGGTTCAATTGAGGAAAGCCCCTTTTATATTCTGCACTTTTTTGATTGATCCGGGTTCCCCGTCAAAGGTCATGCCGCCAGAAGAGCTCTCTTTCAATCAGCTTGACTTAGATGATTACAAACATAAGTTTCTAACTAGTAATGAGATGATCCAAAGGTCGGTACGGGAGCGTAATTTGCAGATGAGAGAAAAGATGAAGCAAGGTTATGACCAAAGGTTCAACGTTGAAAGGAAAGATTATCCTTGCGTAGGTGATAGGGTCTTTCTAAAATTGCCACCGGAAAATGGAGTTGAGAATTATCCTAGATTCTGTAATGACTGAAGCGGACCTTATAGAGTGGGTTTTAATTTTTCAGGTATTTTTTAGAAGTTAGTGATAATTCAGCACTCTTGTCAAGTCTCAGTAGTAATGACGAACTTATTAGAGTTCAATATGATATGTTAATAAAAGTTCCGCAAGAAATATGGGATTCGCCTCTAGTAACCAAAACTAAAAGATGGAGTAGAAAAAGTTAGAGGTTGCCAATAGTGGTAGTAAAACTGTCTTTTGCAGGGCCATGGCAGCAGAATTTGATAATCGGCATTAAGCCTGTTCCATGCCTGTCCTGGACCATGAGACGATGATATGGACTGTGACATACGAAAGAAGACGTTTGGCGACGTGATGCCCGGCGCAGATCCAGTGAATGCGACACTGCCGATAACAACCATATTTTCACTAGCTCGTTACATCTCCATCTCTGAGCAAGAGAGAGATGCTGATAAAAGGAATTTTTTGATGAGAGACAGGAATCACGTCTTCGTCACAACATCTGATTGGAGAAAGCATAGGTCTATTTCAAACGTCACTGCCTCCACACCATGCGCGATTTGATGCGCCATGACGGCAGCACTTTAATGATGAGACATGACAAAAACGTGGTATTGTTGATTGACCAAGTCAACTCATTGACGAACGAAGGCAGGGCACGGCAGGTGGCTTACCAAGCAAGCTGATACCGTTTTCAGGAGAAAAAGCAGAGAGGATTTTGTTTTTGCCGTCCGCGTACAGCCGGCATGCTGCCGGTGTGCCGGCAGCACGCTCTCCCAAGCAAACAATGGGCTTGTTTACAGCGAATTGAAAACAAAATGACATCAAAATTAGTGTGTAGATGGGCAATGAGGAATTAGGACTATGTGTAATAAATTATGAGAAAATTATGTAAACTGAAGGCGTGCTCAACTTTTTTCAGGTGGCTTTCAAGTCACCTGGAAGCCACCTGAGGTGGCTTGGGGAAGAAAAAGTTATATATTTTCCCTCCCTCACATAAATTTTCAAGCTTCTTTACATAAACTTCATCTACATCCTTAACCCGACAAATTGGTTCCTAAACCGCCTCATACCCCCTCTTTCCGCTTAGTTACAGCCCCCTGCAAACTTTCAGTGGCGGCGGCAACGGTGCCCCTAACGCGTTTTTAATACTTCTTTGGCGTTTTTTTACTTTCTTCAGTTCCTTTTCATGTGTTTCTCTTTCTGATTCTCATGGCGGAGGTCGTACTTTCCCAGTGAAGTCAAAGGAGACTTAGTTTTTTGCAGTTTCGGGAAGCCACCTCGCCACCTCGTGCCGAGCCCTGAACGAAGGAGTCAGATTCGCCATAAAGCATTCTTGGACAGACGTAAAAGTCGAAAAAAAGAAGGAAAATCTCTATTCTTGCTCCGACGGGATTCACATGGTACAAGCACGCAGTACAATTCGGAGAACACACCGCGGCATTCATCTATAAGAGTCTCTCAGATATATGCAAGAAGCTCCGAGAATTACGAGAACCGTACAATGTAGTCTTCGTCGGACCCACATCACATGAGAGGCCACCTGAAGAAGAGTGGATGAGATTAAGTCTAAGTTTTACAAGCGTAGCACGGGCCGGCTTCAAACTTGTCGCTGTAGCACCACCACGAGGTGAACTTGATTGGGAATCGACACGCCTGAAAGTAATGGACATGATGAACACAGTAAGGGACGCCGCATACACGACTAGAGCCAACGTCGTAACAAAGATACCACAAGCCCCATCTGTGACCGAGCCGGCTGGCAGTTGACATAAGAGCGAGGAAAGACGAAGGAAGTGGATATCCGCACGCAGTGATCTGGGACTTCTTGAGTACGCTGGTCGACTATGTGAAAGGGGACATACCCTTAGAAGCATTTATGGAAGTACACAAGCAGAAAGGAAGTCGACAGCATCCAACGGAACGTCACCACCATAGCAGTCACTCATATAATAAATTCGAATATCACTCAAGTTCTTCCTTGCCACGACACCGATTCGAATATCACCCGCAAGTTTGAAGTTCAAATGGAGGATAAGGATTCACATTAAATGGCGGACCACACAGAGAAACAGGGCATAGGCCGGAGCCACATGGACGTGGCAGCCCTTCGACGTCCAGGAAATGCACCCGTACGAGGACGAGGAAGATACTTCGGTTACCAATTCAGACCTTATTGAGTGTCAGAGACCGCACTCGTTGTGGGGGGGGGGGATGTAACCGTTGTTGTCATTTTTTTGGTATACGATAGCTTTCTTGACTAGGCTAGAAATCCGCTTCACTGAGTTTTTTCTAGGTAAGCCGTTTGGCAATGCTATGTTATGTTTTGTCTTTTCCTGTTACTTTGCCTTTTCTTATTACTCAATTTGGATCTCTTTTCATCTCATTGTCTGTGCGAGGTCGCTATGTTAAGGGTTTTTGCATTCAGGTATCGAAGATCAATGGCGTTGCGAAAACCGCGTTAAAACTTTTTTGATCATGAGTTGTCCTCGCCCGTTAGGGCAGTGATGCAGTCAATCGTTGTTTAGTTTTTGTTAGTGTTCGCATTGAGCTCTTTCTTTTTCATTGCTCATTTCTTGTTGTTGTCTTGATCGCACCGATAAACGGTTGCTTCTCTTGATTGTTCTAGTGAGTTCATTTGAGCGGCGTTTCCAAGAAGTCAGATAGACTTTCTTTGAACGCCTCAAAATTTGTGCTGCTGTATTCCAGAATCCTATTACATGCGAAATGTCATTCAAAAAGTCTTTCCAAGTCTTTCTGAGGGTTATTCGTAGAGAAACCATTCATTCTGCATAAAGTGGGCAGTATATTCCAAAAGCTGAGATATTCGACCAAGAATTACTGGCTAAGAACGTGTTTTGGCTCACAATTTTCAAAAAATAGAAGAAGTCGAGGTAAAATGCATGCGAGAGAGCGGAATTGGCTTTATTAGAAGCTTACCGTGAGAGACGAGCTTATTCTATCATCATGATGAGAGGATGATTAATACGTCTCTTAATACTCAATGTTATACCTTTTGTTGCTAAGCGTTATAACCACCGGGCTATCATGAGATTGGTGCCCTCCCTCATCCATTTCGGAATCAATAACTTGATGTGACGTGAGATTAAAAAAATGCAGTTTCCTGTCTGAGAAAACTGCATCTATCCTCTAGGTGCCCCATTACTTTTGGATTACTCTTATGCTGCAAAAAGTGAATCAGTCTAAACTGCAAAGCTTTCTTTGCAGAGCTTTCTTTGGGAAAGCAACAAGGACTTCAGGATTTGAGTAGATAGCAAAGATATGTATTCGGTTGTCAAAAAAATATTGACACTTCCTAGATATTTACTTGCTATAGCAGCTAATTAGCAGCACCGCTCCCCAAAAAAAAGGAGGATACTGTCCGATGACTGTCCGATAAATAATTTTGATAATTTGCATAATGCTGTTCCAAACTTGGATCTTTCCCATATGGAAAGCAAATGAATACAGTACCCGTACAGTCTATGGTACTCTCCGATGAACAAGGAAAAAATTTTGTTTTGAATTTAGTATTATTGACAGATCTTTACATCAAAACAATATATTTGGTGCTAAAGATTTTCGTCAGCCTTTATATTTCTAATCAAGTTTTGTGTAGCAGAAAGTTTTTTCTCGATGAATCAGCCTATGTTGCCGCAAGGAGAAGTACGGGCGTAGCTGCCAAAATTTTCGCTAACTTTTCAAAATAAGATCAAAACAGTAGGAAGGCAGCATAGTTTAGGAGATATCACAAACGCCGACTGTCTTGCAGTCTTTTCGTTTTTTCTAAGTGTTATCGGTTGCGCCTTTTTGATGAATTTTATCCAAATCAGGAGTTATGCTGTAGCCATTATTTAAACTGGTCAAGTTTGTGATATTCTGGCGACATTTTATACGTTGTGTTGACTTGAGCCTTTACCAAGCAATGCTGTGCAGTGATTGGTTCTTTGAAACGAGAGGTACACACTAATTCATCAACACTTCATCACAATGGCACCAAAAAATGCTCTTTCACACTATTTCTCTTACTGAGGCAATTTCTTCTTTATGAATGATTGCTTCATCGACTCTGCTGCCATCGCCCACATCCCTTGTACCGCCCATGCTGTCACCGCCCGCAACTTGTGCACCGCCTACATTCGTGTCTGCGTTGGTTCTGTAATTTTCGTCTTCGTCCTCGCCTTCGTCTCTACTATCCAGATCACTATCTTCCAATCCCACCAGGGGTAAAGTGTAATCATCTGATTCAACTCGTTCAACTGAAAAACTTACTGTAATTATAAGTTAAAATCAGGTTTTTTATCTGAAGAGAATTAAAATTATCTCACAAAGCATGCTAAGCAGCTGAAGTACATGAATGCTAGCGCTAATTAACCCTTCAACATATTTATATGCTTTAGGTTAAAAAAAAACAAGTTTCTAGAGATTTCTTTTCAAATACCTTTAACTTAGATTCACAGCATGGAGCAAATTACCGATCTCTCTTCATTACTGCAGGATTACGGTAAAAAATTGCAGCACTATCCCAAACAAATCTGTAAAGTTGTGCAACAAGGTTTACATGCATGCTGATTTCAATAAATAATTTTTCGCTCGTTCTCAGAGCTTTCTAAATGGCGTAATCAATTTTTTGGCAAATGTCAGAAATCGGCTGTCAGTATATCTGGAAACTTATAAGAAAAAATTTACGGTGATATGCGAGTGTCATATTTGAAATCAGCAAGTTTAGCTTAGTGTAGAGATTTTAACTTCTTCAGTCCTTTAGGGGGTAAAGTACCCTTAACGAGGCGAAGCAGTCCTACCGTAATCCCACAGCAATGAAGAGAGAACGGGATTCTGACCCATGCTGTAAATCCAAGTTAAAGTCAGTTCTACAAAACGGTATTTGAGGCTTCTCGAAAGACTTCATAACGAGAGAGTTATTCACAATCAAACAGTAGGCACATTTTCGAGACGCCCTGTATGTGGGAAGATCCATTTCGCAAGAGATCGTCACTTTTTACTTCCTGTTATCCAGCTACAAACTTTATTGATTGCACAGGGGAATTTGTAAGTGTCTACGGTGCTAAAGAGAGAAACTCTTCGCACCGTAGCCACTTTTTTTTGCGCGGATTCAAATATCTTAAGTCCTAACAGCAATTATAATATAAATGAACGTCATTATGCGGAATTTGCTTTTTCTCAGCATATCTATGCCTTGCTATTTAGGTTAGCAACCCGTCAAGAGTTCATTATTTGTAAGAAAATGCTTTGAGGACTTATATTTCAGCTGAAGGGCTTTTCCACGGATATTGAAAGGCTTCAATTGTTGTTTCATCAATTCAAAACAGGCTTATTGTTTTGATGGCCAACAATTGAAATCTTTCAATATCCGTGGAAAAGCCCTTCAGTTGAAATATAAGTCCTCAAAGCATTTTCTTCATCTATTTAAGAGTCTTTGGCAATGGATTGTTAGTAGTCTTATAGTTGGTATTTCTGATTCATGTTGCTATCGCAAGCGCGAGATCATATAATGGAAGCCACGTGATAGTGCCGACCATGCCGCAAACTATGCAATACAAAAAAATTCTGGAGCTCATAAAAGCTGAAATTCAAAATACAGCACGATGTTAATAGTGTTATATCATCAGTATGATTATTAATAATATTTGATAGAAAGTTGCAGTCGAAAGTAGGAAAATGTTTCAGTTTGCCTTACTGATCGGCTATATAAAACACCAATTTTGCGTGGAAGTGTTGTTTGCAAAATGCAAGAAGAGACGCTTATTCATTGTTTTCGGTGTAATCAATGTTGGAAATTAGAAGGCTTTAATGTCACAACAATGGAAAGATCCAATTAAGGTGTGGTACGTACCTCTTGGGAGATTGCCTTTAAAATAGCACTGTACAATCTGTCCAAACAGCAAACAGTTCCATGTTTCTGGTAAGTGCATGTCACCGTCCTAAACATTATCAAATGTGAGATTGTCTTTACTCAGTGGCCCGAAAACTTTGCTCATCAAAAAATTCTGATGTTTATGTCAACTTCCTCGGGGTGGTAGGCTGCATCAGAGCTCGTTCGCACGAGAATAACGAGAATAATTTTTATTGTTCGCCGAGTCATCCGTTACTCAATAGGTGAGTCCGCACACATCGCGCGGCAACTGATGACATGTAACTTTATTAGTAACCTATCAGTAAAACCTTCTGTAGTGTTACAAACTGTGAAGTGTTAGGTCGTTTCATAAGTTCGTAACGTTTTTATAGACCAACTAAATCATCAGTTTATGTTGAAAATCGGTCAGTAATGTGTTCCTTGATGTAGCGCACGATCTTTTAGCACAATCCTGCCAGCCATTCAATCCCAATCTTTAAATCGACAGCGCGCCGGTTACCAAGAAAGTCAGCTAACCAACGCTCAAATTACTCAGTTAAATCGCGCCATTCATGAGGATTGCGAGAGAGCCGAACAAAGATAATCTGATAGAGCGAGATTTGGAGAGTACGTTGGGACCGAAGTGCCCTCCAGTCAAATCTTGCAGTACAGTTTTGACGACGATTGCCGTATCAGGTCACGTTTCGTTATGCAGAAAGACCCACTGGTTCTCTCCATTAGGCTTCTTCTGCGGTAACACCTGGTTTGAACGGTGCATCTGGACTGCTATGGTATGGTTGACCGTCGCCTACTTGTCCAGTAAGTTTCAGTGCAGAACGTCCTACCCGTTTCCCGAAAAGTCTTGTTTAGGGACATCCTACTCAGCTCCTGTTCTTTTGTAGCAATCCAATCCCTTCTGTCTCATATTGATGTGCGAGCGGTTCCATAATCGACAAAAAACCTGTGCGAAACGCTTCTTTTTCATAAGCAGAAATGCGTAATGGTCGAAACTGCTCCTTTTTGCGTGCGAGATTTCCGTCTTTGAAAGGTAAAAAACCAAGTAAATTAGCTTTCCATCGAAATTGGTAGACTTATTCTAGCATGCCCCAAATCAGCCGCTCCTCAAAGAAATGAGGCGAGAATGAAAACGCTAGGAACTTTTGGAACGACCTTATATGTACTACTAATTAGAACGTATCCAATCAAACCAAGAGAAATAGGAAAACAGGAAGAGATCACTAGCAGTGGGCAGGTCCTAATCTTACATATCCTCAAAGCATCGCGTGTGCTGTGCAATACGCATATTAAGTCACAAATGACTCGAGGACTCTTGGTTCAGCTGTGGTTAAACAAGTTGAAGTAATTGCTTAGTTTCTGCAGTTTCAGTGTTTTTACAAAGAAAACTCTATTCTTTGTCAAGCAAGTCCGCTCTTTCAGAATCAATGATCAAACGCTGAAAGACTACAGGAAAGGATAAACATCACACCGGCAGCTGATCTCCATAATCGAGTAAGATATCTTGGGCATCTGACGGCGCAAATCTGAAATAGTGATCAATACGGAATTCTGTATTGACAAGCACACTTACCTAGCAGGATGCTTGACAGTAACATCCGCACTTGATATGTTAAAATTACAGTCGCGCTTTGGCATCTGTAGATACTGTATACTCATGTCAAAAGTGGCCGTAAAAGCAGTATGAAAAACCTTTTTATCTGAATAATCATCCAAGAACAGTTTCATGTAGCCAGCCAATTCTCTGAGATAGTCATTATCGCCGGGGCAATCTTCCACTTTTAGGAAAGGCGATGAATCTTCCACATTTGAGGAAGACAGTGCAGGGAGGAAGAACTGAAAATCGTCTTTGTTTGTACATTCCTTACAGCTTAAAACTTACAGCGAGTATTATTAGCGCTGTGAGCATTTCGATATGAACATCAAATTTCCTCTTTTATATGAGTTGCAAACAAACACAGCAGAACTATCAAACAAGTGCATTGCTGTCCTCAAAATCTGAATCAGGATCGTTTGGTGCCATTTTTAGCAGCTCGCCATTCAGAAAGTTGATATCACAGTCAACAAGAATGTAATAACAACAGCATGTAATTAACGAGGACACAATTATTTCATGTAAGGGCAATTCTCTCTGGTCTTGATTAAGCTGTTTTCGCAGTGGCTACGCCATTCAAGCACGTAATTAACGAGTGTAGCGAAAGCTCATTGAGTCCAAAGCAGCACTTTTGCGAGCTTTTGCTAATGCTGTTGAAGATGACGCCTAATACAGTACATCAATTTGGAAGAGCGGGTTTGATGTACTGTCTCATAACCTTACTATCAATCCTACTAAGTCTTGAATCACAGTTATGGATTTCTCAGTCATGTTTACCGGGGCTGTTTACGGTGCTTTCTACTTAAGCAATTATCTTACACTTTTTTGATAATTTGTGCGCAAGCTTATGCAAATCCGCTCATCGGTCAAGGAATCTTGATAGCGTGCAGAGCAATGCATCCGCCCACTAAGCTACTATACTTCCTCACTAAAATCCCTGTAATTTCCTCAAGACCATAACTCTCCCAGTTGGTTTAGGTCGTTCCATTAATTCGAATTCCATTACGAATACGATATTAGTTCTTAATATTAGCCGTTAATTTCATCGATTTCATCACGCTGGGAGTTACCACAGGGGGTAAGTGAGCATGCTGAACCAAACCAACGGGAATAGGGAATTGGTATGTAGAAGTGTGCACAGCAAAAGGTTGAACAGGGAGGGACGGGACTCTCACCACAGTTCTTAACAGGGCCAGACGGAGCCAGGTATGCCAGCTAGTATCAAAATAAGAGAAATCCTTCATGGTCTTCAATTTTCAAACTCCAAAGTTTTCCAAACATGTGTATGCAAACCAGTATATTATGTACTGCTTCTTCCGAAAGCAAGCATTGAAGATGAAAGAGCAATCAAAGGACGGCGTTTTGTATAAGATGATCGTGTGAACGCCGATACACATGGACAAGAAGACTCACTGCAGCTTGTTGAGTGGCTTAAGTACACTACAGAGGATGTTGTCAATGATTTCCAGTGTGCGAGTTCTTGGTTCTAGTAGAAATGCCGCTGTTTCAAAGACTCATTTTTCGTTCCGAAGTTCTTACATGGTCTTTAAGCAAGGGGAAAAAGTTTTATTGGTATCTAGTAGTAGTGGTTGTAGACGAGAGCAACAAAGTATCTGCTATACGATTTCGGACGACATCAGAATGGCCTGATTATTTAGAGCTGCGATACAGACTCCTGAACAGCTACCGCGATGCCCTGCGTGCTGTATTACAACCAGACCATCAGCATCATTACTGCATAGAAATTAGTTCATAACCTCTCGTTTACACGTGCGAAATTGATGCAAGAATGATAGATGGAAGATTCAGATAGATGGATATGCTTTCGCATTCAGTAGGCTCCAGGGAACGTACGTTTTTCTGCGGCTCAGTGACTTTTAGCTTGTGCCAAAACATTAGGATAACATAAGTTACATAAACACAAATCTTATATATAAAGCTGAATGTCTGTTTGTATGTATGTCTGTCTGTCTGTCTGTATGTATGTCTGTACGTATGTTCCGAATAGAAAATTCCATTTCTGAACCGATCCGGACCAAACTTGGCACACATACGCTACGGTCCCCGGCGGGTGTCATAGGCTACTTTTCGTCATCGATCGATATCGATTTTATCGATTTTCATCGATTTTTTGCAGAGTTCACCTACGGGGCTGGGAGTTGGCACAGGGGGGTAATCGAGCATGGGAATTCCGAATACAATATTGGTTTCAGGATTATCGATTACTTTTATCGATTTTATCGATTTTTTTGCAAAGTTTGAGCTACGGGGCTGGGAGTTGGCACAGGGGGGTAATCGAGCATGGGGATTCCGAATACAATATTGGTTTTCAGGATTATCGATTACTTTTATCGATTTTATCGATTTTTTTTTGCAAAGTTTGAGCTAGGGGGCTGGGAGTTGGCACAGGGGGGTAATCGAGCATGCTGATCATCCCCAAGGAGGGTGATCAGCATGCTCGATTACACCCTTGTGCCAAATTCCAGCCCCCTAGCTCAAATTTTCAAAAAATCGATAAAATCGATAAAAGTAATGGACGATCTTGAAAACTAATATTATATTCGTAATCTGCATGCTCGATTACCCCCTGTGCAAACTCCCAGCCCCGCAGGTCAAACTTTACAAAAAAATCGATAAAATCGATAAAAGTAATGGACGATCCTGAAAACTAATATTGTATTCGGAATCCCCATGCTCACTTCCCCCCTGTGCCAACTCCTAGCCCTGTAGGTGAACTCTGCAAAAAAATCGATAAAAATCGGTAAAATCGACATCGATCGATAACGAAAAGTGGACTGTGACACCCGCCGAGGCCCGAAGTGTATATGTGCCAAGTTTGGTCCGGATACGGCGGAGCCGGGTAAGCCAGCTAGTTACAGATATAGTTGAGTCATGGATACATAAGTTTCCTAGATGGATGTGATGTTTGATGCTCAGGATGAACAGCGCACTCGCTGAGTTTTCTGACCAAACCTCAGCCTTGCTTTGAGGTTAGCACACATTCGAATTTCAGACTCGGTCTCTGTCTGCCGCAAACTTGCGATGAAGCGGGGTGCATTGCTGGAAAGGTGATGTAGCTGTGCTAAGATTTTTGCAGTTTTTGCAGAGCTGTTTTGGGGTTTTGAACTAACAAGCAAAAAAGATATGAATGCACTACTATACCAGATTTTCTCCAGCTAAACTCAAAATTGTACCAAATTGCACGCACGTGCTTACTTCATCACGTGATTTTAACAGCAGAAGCCGAATGTTAAGTCTGAAAGTGTTTTGAATATAGAGCAAGGTTGATAGTTGGTCAAAAAACCAATCCAATGATTACAAGATTCTACCGAGCAACAAACATCGCATCTATGTAGAAAACTTGATCTCAGTCTTTGGGACAAGCTGATTCGAATCTACAAAATACAAGAAACACGTTTTGGAGCGTGCTAAAACCAAAAGTATTTTCATCTGTCCTTTAACTGCATGAGTGTCTTGCAGCAAGCATCTTTAGCTTTATAACTGTCCTTTACAGAAAATTTCAATGCAGAAGATTGCATTTTTAAGCAAAAAAAAAAAGAATTTCGACCACGGTTTTCATATACTTGTAAACCGCTCAAAATTTGTTCGGCTCAAAATCCATTCCTAGAATTACATAGATCTCTATTTTTATGCCGTTATACCGTTTCCAGTCTTTCACATAGCATCAACGGTTTTTTTTGCGATTCATCCAAAAAGTCTAATTTTCGAAGTAAGGGGAGGGGGGGGTATATGATTTTGACCCGCACTATATTTGCTAAAAGCGAGTCCCTCGACCCCTCGAAAAAAACGCCTCCCCGATTTCCGCTCTCGGAATTTACGTCATGTGGTCGTTGGCGAAAGTGATTGAAAAAAAAGCTAAGCATTTGTAAAAAGCATACTCATGAATTGTGGATAACCCTTTTGGAGACCGTAAAACTTTCTCACGACACTGAGATTGTAAGTAGGCGCGCATGCAGGCCCAAACTGCAGTCTAGCACATTTTTAATATCGCACGTGTAAACGAGAGGTTATGAACTAATTTCTATGCAGTAATGATGCTGATGGTCTGGTTGTAATACAGCACGCAGGGCATCGCGGTAGCTGTTCAGGAGTCTGTATCGCAGCTCTAAATAATCAGGCCATTCTGATGTCGTCCGAAATCGTATAGCAGATACTTTGTTGCTCTCGTCTACAACCACTACTACTAGATACCAATAAAACTTTTTCCCCTTGCTTAAAGACCATGTAAGAACTTCGGAACGAAAAATGAGTCTTTGAAACAGCGGCATTTCTACTAGAACCAAGAACTCGCACACTGGAAATCATTGACAACATCCTCTGTAGTGTACTTAAGCCACTCAACAAGCTGCAGTGAGTCTTCTTGTCCATGTGTATCGGCGTTCACACGATCATCTTATACAAAACGCCGTCCTTTGATTGCTCTTTCATCTTCAATGCTTGCTTTCGGAAGAAGCAGTACATAATATACTGGTTTGCATACACATGTTTGGAAAACTTTGGAGTTTGAAAATTGAAGACCATGAAGGATTTCTCTTATTTTGATACTAGCTGGCATACGTGGCTCCGTCTGGCCCTGTTAAGAACTGTGGTGAGAGTCCCGTCCCTCCCTGTTCAACCTTTTGCTGTGCACACTTCTACATACCAATTCCCTATTCCCGTTGGTTTGGTTCAGCATGCTCACTTACCCTCTGTGGTAACAACCAGCCCGTAGCACGAACTCTGCCAAAAAATCGATAAAAATCTTAAGATTAACGGCTAACCTTAAATGGACCAGTGGTAACCTTCCCAGCACTCTACAAAATAAATGCTCTTAGGCGAGAATATCCGCCTCCGGTTGTCTCATTCAAACATTGGGAAAATTTTGACAACTGTCTTTATCCCAGAAATACACTCATTTTTGCTTTTTTAAACGCGCATAACTCCTCGTCCAAGAATGCGCCGCAATTAAGGAAGTCAGATTTGAAATCAGCGTTTCATGTTCTCCACCATGGTGTACAGCCCATCTTAAAAAGCCACTTCGACCATCCATCGCTTGTCAGACGAAGATTGTTTGATAGCAGTTATACAGTAGCAGCTAGCTAGTCAAATTTGACTATACTGGCACCTGATTTAGGCAAAATGTCGCCTTTACAAACCAACATTTTGGTAGTAATTCAAGCAATCCATTATCAGTCAACCACACATTGAACTTTCACAAAAGTCAAATGTACTTTCGCTAAAGCTTGAAAATTGCCACTGTTGACTGTATAAAAGCGCTAAGAAAAACCTTCTTAGAGAATGGCCCGCATTTGCTTATCACTAATTGTGAGCTTTAAACAGCTCAATCAGCAGTACTGCTAATAATATTCATCTAAGGTATTTCTCCTCCCCGTTCTTCCAAGTGTAGCCATAGAAAATGGGTCAGCAGATCAAGTGGTACAAAGTCAAATAACGTCGCGAGAGGAAGAAGCAAACGCACCAGATCTGACTGCGGTCAAAACAGGACCAACAGCTTTAGATGAAGCAAAAGCACCAGGTGCTCGTGAGGAAGGAGCATCAGATAAGAAAGGAGCAAGAGCATCAGAGGAAGAGCTAAAAGCTCCACTATCGAAAATAGATGTACCAGGTATAAAGTGGACAGAAACAAAAGTACCAGCAGAAAAGACAGGAACGTTGGCAGAAAAGGCGAGTGCACCAGATGCGGGACCAAAAGAATCAGCTGAAGGCGAGGATGACGGAGAAGAATATGACATGTCAAGTGATGGTGATGAAGAGGATGAAGAAGAAACAGATAGGGACGACGATGGAGGTTTTAGTACAAGCTGGTCACTGACAAAAAGTATTCAAGCCGCATTGGAGCGCAAGCTTGAGCATAGAGCGGTATTGGTATGTTTGTTTGCAACGATTCAAAGTTTTGGTCACTTTGTGATGTAGTACAGCAAAACATAGTGCTAAAAAGTCTGCAGGCTGACTCCTTTGTGGAATTTGAAGGACAGCTTTTTGGTTATCTTAACACACTTTTTTACGAAGTGCTCTCGTAAAAATGTGCATCTTCAAAGTTAGCGTATTATAAGTTTTTGCAAGAATTTTACGACTTTTTTCAAATTCACCTGTCTAAAGGCTAATCACAAAATAATATCATGATGTGATCTTTTGAACGATATTTTTTGAGGTACTATAACTCATGCCATTCGCAGTGTGTTGCATACTAGATGAGCACAACTTACAACTTCTACTCCTCGTGAGCAACCAATTTCTGAGACTTTGCGGGACGAGTGTTTCCTTGCATGGTTTGTAAGCTTTCATACTGACTCAAATTGATTCGACCATACACGTTTCCGCCGCCGTAAGCTAAGGGTCTGCAGTAACCTGTATGACTAATGATCAGAGATGTGTTTTTTGCTCCCGTCGTTTGCAAAATTTTCGCTTTCTCTAATTATGTCAGTATCTCTTGGTTCACCCCTCCTTTTCCTCTCATTCAACTCCTAAGGAACGCATGCTTAACATTTCCGCTGGGAGGAGATCGCAACTTGAAAAAACTTTTATATCCTAAAGATCCAGATATCTGATTTCATGCTGTCAACTATCCGTAAGTATCCACCATCTTTACTATGAAAACATTGACGAGGAGCAAAAAGCTGTATAAGTCATTTTCCACCTTTTTATCTGATCCGCTAAATTTTTTTGAAGACATTTTTATTTTTCTTGAAGCTAAAGCTAAACAAAAGTAGCTAGCATTCCGAAGTTGTCCTGATTTTCTATGCCAACATGCTAAGCATGTTCCTGATAAGGACGAATGATATGTTGAGCCACATGTCGAAAGCCCGATTTATCGAAAACGTCATATCAATAGCTGGTTCGGTACTAGTAACATGCTCAGCAGTTGGGTTACAATACATCTTTGAAATCTTCTCGTTGATTTCGAAGAAAAAATGACTTTGAATAAGACGTCTCAGACAGTCGACGGCATACCTCCGGAGCAGAAATGGCCGAGCCGTGAGGTTTGCCCAGCTGGGGATTGCCACTCGTGCTCCGGAGCCCTCCCATTTGTGCTCCGGAGACCTCCCATTTATGCTCCGGAGTCCTCCCATTTTGTGCTCCGGAGACCTCCCATTTGCGCTCCGAAGACCTCTCATTTTGTGCTCCAAAGCCCTCCCATTTTGTGCTCCGGAGATCTCCCATTTGCGCTCCGGAGCCCTCCCATTTTGTGCTCCGGAGGTGTCCCAAATCTGGCGTACCTCCGGAGCGCAAAGCTCTGCTCCGGGGCTCTCCCAAATCTGGCGTACCTCCGGAGCAGAGATTTGCGCGTCCCGGAGAAGGGTCCCATTCGCCTGCTTGTGACGTCAGCGTGACCTACAAGAAGGGACCGCCTCCTCGCCCCGCTCTCAATGGTCAATTGGGTCCTCCGCGACTCTGCCAGATTTCGACTCTTCTCCGGAGCTACGGCACCGACTGTCTGAGACGGCCAGCAGCCGGGAATTATCAAGATGTCATATAAAAACTGAAAATGCGGCTTTTACAGCTTCTCGCTCTAGCTCAGTATGTTTATAGATAAGATAGTAGGATTTACGGATAAGTTAACAGCCAGGGTCGGTAGTAAACCCGCCGAAACGCACAGCTCATATAGGCCGTCCGCGATGCGCACGGAGAGCAACGCTGTTGCGTACACTGAAGGCAGTTCACGACTGGAAGAAGCGCAGAGAAAAACAGGCGGCGAGAGTGCACGAGGAAAGAGGAGTGACGCGCAATACACACCTTGCGCACCCTCCGCGCCCTGCGCTGACGGCCTATACTTAGAGTTATAACGGAATAGGTATAGGTATAGGTAGTAAATCACTTTGCTTCGGGCGAGAGACAGGCACCAGGGCCCGGCACGCGTTGGTTTGAAGCGGTTCCGGAAACGAAGTCCCCCATGACTTCGCGAAAATTTACGAAGTCCCTCTTGACGTGAAAATCAGTAGGGAAACCCTTAATTAGTCAAAATAACATTAAAAAAAGCGAAAAAAGCGCATTTTGGGGTAACTAATACAACAAAAAAAGCAAAAAAAACATTTCGAGTTGATTAAAGGCTCTGTCATTGGGAGTGTACCATTTTAGCGCTCAGAATGTCGAGAACCTCCTAAGCCAACCAAATCTGTGGCCTCAACAATCTGGCAGTGCGTTTTTCGCCACATAGTTCAAAGGACACCGCGTGTGATTGGAGCGCAATATCTATCAAGGCGTATAGATTTGCACTACTTTTGGCTCAAAAGAAGAGTAGAGGCAATAGTTTGATTCGCTCTCTTCACTATATAATAGGTTTTTGAGCGTTTTAATCGTCCAAATCAAAAAGGTCCAAAACTTATGTGAACTCTCCGAAATTTATGCTCCGAACCAACCCAGTTGGTTCGGTGGTTGGTCTAGAAACCAACAAATCCGGAACGGGTATTCAGACACATAAGTTTTGGGAACTTTTTACATAACATAGTTTGGAGTAATATTGTATACTCATAGCCCAAATTCGGAGCCATGTGATGGTTTGTGCGCTGTAAACAAGCCATTTGTTTGTTTGAGTCTTGCATTTGAAATTCGCGCATTTGAAATTCGCGCGCTCGCGAAATTCGCGCAACTCTATGCCGACATAAATAATCTCAAATGGCAAATGTCTAATTTGAATTCTTGCAATTTAACGATAAAACGGTTAAAAACGCGATGTGTGTGAAAATTGTGCCATTGCTCCGAGGACCTGTCCAGAAATGGTACCAATGCGTCGAAAAACATGCGATGCTGTGAATACCTATTTACGATTCGAACAGTTATAACTTGGAGACGGTGCTGATGATTCTGATCGGTAAAAGTGCCGAGATTTAAGCCAATGGATGAGTTATGCTTATCAGAAAAAGATTGTGTTCTTCAAATCCATGTATTTGAGGCCTAAGTCAGCACGCAATTTATTGTTAGGATGTGACCGAAAGAAGGAAAGTAGCAGCAAGATTTTGGTTTATCCAGAAATGAAAATTGTCATTTGACTGCTGGTGAAGACGCAGGTTGTAAGCGATGCAAATACCTTCATGATTGAGTAGATTGCTGTCTTGGCGGTTATCAAGCTTTTTGATTGAGTTTTATCAATGAACTAAAGTAAATGAAAAATATGGATTGTCCGTCCCGTTTTTTTTGGATTCAGTCTTGAAGCTTAAGAAAATTTGGGGTAATAGAATGAGAAAAATAATAAAAAAGGCTATAAGGAAGGTTATGTGCGATTCGACAAATGAGCACAAATATTGAAGATCCAATTTGTGAGATGCGTTCAATCTCATCACAATCTAACAGATGAAGTCACACCAAATCAGAATTTTTTCTAGAGCGATGAAGTCCCGTACATGTTAATGGCCTCAAAACTCATCAACAATGGTTATAGAGACGGAAATTACCATTTTTGGACAGAATCACCAACGAAACGCGGTGAAATCACGGTACACATTATGGCATGCTTCGCACCAGCAGGGTATGTTCGACCATTTCACTTTGCACTTCACTGTCCCAAATGTTGTCGTGCAGGACATCAGCAGAGCTCTTTGCTTCGTTGTGCGTAGGATGCCTAGACGAGGTGGGAATAGTTTGCTTAAGGAGAGGTTACTGAGTTGGAATGGCCAATTAAGAATAAATTTCTGTCGCTTACAACGCAGCCACGCTCTGCTTATAAATTTGCCTTTATTGCTCGCGAAACGGCTCATTGAAACAATTTATCATCCCAATGAATAATGTGCATCAGAAGTTAGCCTGAGCACGAATCAGGTAGAATATTTCGCAAAATCACTACCAAATCAAAATCAATATCACTCGAAACCCAAACATACAGGGCTTATCAAACGCAATGTCGCTTGCATCAGCATCTCCACTCCCGCGCTGGACTCTGCGTCTCTTTCGCGAAGATGCTCTCTAATCACTTCCAATCGATTGTGGCTCCGCCTTTCCCACGCTGGCCCCGGGAAAGTGATCAGAGAGCATGCCCGCGGAAGAGATGCAGAATCAAGCGCGGGAGTGGAGATGCTGACGCAAGCGACACTGCGTTTGATAAGCCCTGTATGTTTTGAACCGCTTTTTGTTTTAGTGTGCACTGTGCTATCAACAAAAACAAACTCTCAAAAGCTCCCAGCTTTTTCGGAAAAGTTTTGCAGGTGAAGAAGCTGATCATAGCTGTCAGAGTCGCAGCTGCCGTATACTTTTAGTTGCATAGCGCTAGATCTACATGACTTTTATTAGAGTACAAGAAATCTAAACCATGCACGTGATTCGAACTGCAACAACCCTTGCCTCTCAAATTACACCCTCGCCTCCTCAAAGCAGTCTCTACTCTCATATATAGAAATGAGATACAGCGGACTTACAAGGGAAGAAAGGTTGGTCGAAGTGGCCTTTGTAATGAATTGTATACAGTCTTGTAGAGCTTGGAACGCTGATTCCAAATTTACCTTCGCTATCTGCTGCGGGCTTTTAAGCGAGAAGATATGAAAGTTTTTGTGAGTAAAAATTCAAGTGCAAGATTAGTATAAGATCAGTCGCAAGCCTTTTCTTGACGTTCAGATGAGGCAGCAGCGAGTTCGTAATTTAAGACTAAAAATATTTGTTGCCCCTTCGACTCGAATATTAGTTAAGCTTTAGAAAAAATTTACGACTGATTTTATACTAATCTGCATTTAACTTTTTACACACAAAAACCTCCATAACTCCTCGCACAGAAGTCCGCAGCAGGTAGTGAAGGCAGCTTTGGAATCAGCGCTCCAAGCTTTACAAGATAGTACACATTTCATTCAAAAAGGCGACTTCGATCAACCTTCCTTCCCTTGTTAGTAGGTAGACTCGCACTACTTTTCGTATACGATGCACAAGCTTCTCGTAATGTCATCAATAGGGAAACGTTGCAGATATTCCATAACGTCTCTCTGCCTTCTTGCGTGACCCTGTATACAATCAAGAATTCTCAGAGAGTTTAACAAATTTGCTCTCTCAGCTAAGCTTTAGTGCTTCTGTTTCAAATAGGCAACAAATCGCATTTTTTAGAACATCTACAATATACAATCTGCATATTGGCAGCTGAGTATGGGATGCTATCAAGTTGAAGAAAAAGGCACGCTAGGTTGTTCGTTTGGAAAGTACAAAGGACCAGATCTGGTTGACTATGAAATAATCAAAAAGATCAATATCACGCAACCAATTCAACCTAAATCAAAAGAATAAATATTTTTTCTGCTGTTTACAATCTTGTGAGGTAAAAGAAAGGAGTCTAATTTTCGGTAGCGCAAGCTCTATGTCTTTGAAGGAATCATGATTAGTAAGGCTATCACTGACCCTCTAAAGACATGGAGCTTTTCCTTTCTATTACATAACGTTGCTTGCTTATTGATTATTTTTGCCTGAGTCTACGTCATTGCACATAATTCTCGAAACCTTGCGCAATGAAGAGTGTCAAGCAAAATTATTATTAGGGTGATCGAGAAGTAATGGGACACTTCAACTACTTTATAATTTTAATGTTTTCCTGATAAGCAATAAACAACCAGCAGTAAAGATAAATTTTCGAAAAGTGTCCTTCGCATGTTATCCTGGCAGCAACTTGCTGCTCATATCCTACATTCCGCGCGGCGCTTGAAAAAAGTCAGACAGACTTTTCTGCATCTGAATTTTTACTGCGGCACCTTGAAATCCCTGGGCACATGACATACCATTCGAAAGTGCTTTCCAAGCTCTTTCTAATAATCTTTTAAACCTGCAAAAATTCTTTATCTATTAAAAAGGGAGATGATTTTTAGGTTAGAAAACGCGTTTGGCCCACAATTCTTTGAAAGCGCCTTTTTTCTCGAGGCTTGCGTACATATGGATAGAGCGTAAACTGCCACTTTTCAAAGGTGAGGCCATTCGATCGCCTTGATGAGAGAATGAATAATATGTCATCTAATACTCGACGCTATATCTTCTGTTGCAAGCGTGGGGACCATCAGGCTATCGTGGATTTGGTAACAGTTTCCTAACGCATTGCAGCATATATATTTTTGGCAGATTACTTGTTTTACTGCGGCGTTGCTGCTTCAAGTTCAAAACTTAGAGCTTAGACTTTGAGCAATTATGAACACGAAACCATGCGATAGTGCCTATCTATAGACCTCGATCCAAAGATTATGATATGTATTGTATTAACACCCAAAATTGAACATCCAATTGATTTTTCTGTTTGAGAAAACTGCATTTATTCTTTGGGTGTCCCATTATTTTCCAATTACCCTAATAAAGCGCCTTCATACCTTTACAGGAAGATCGAAAGGCACGAACAAGCAACGATGAGGTGATAATAATCGTCAAAAAATCTTAGCTTCTACTTTTGCTTATTTGGCATGCAGAATGAAAACCATGTGAATGAAGTCGCCTGCCAATGTTCTATTATCTGGTTAAAAGTGAGGCCTACAGCAGGTACTGACTCCCCAAGCAAAGCATATATTCAAACCAATGTTTGCACGCTCACAGTCTGTGCCAACCTCAATTAAGCCAAGATTGGCATGGTAGAAGCCCGTGTCGCGCGGGTTTCCCCACTCTACGCTAGCTTGTCTAATCTCTTCATCTCAGCACAAACTTATGACGATTCAGCCTGACCTTTGGTGGAACAGACTGTTTTATAGAGACAAATCTGAATTCCTTCGTTGATGAAAGAAAAATCTTGGTAGATAAGATGAGTAAAATAGCAAGATTGGCCGGCCTTAGAAATGCACATAGTGGATGCTCCGCGCTTTTATCTCCACCTAGTGTTAAAAGGTTGCAAGCAGACGCCTACGATATCTATGATGAGATTGACAGTTTTAAGAAATCTAACTGCTATTGTTACTATTTATCTCTAACATACTGAACTTAAGTGAATGTCTGTTTGTCATGTGTCTGTGTGTCTGTGCTTATGTTCCCAACAGAATTGCATCTCTGAACCAATGCGGACCAAACTTTGCACAAAACTTAGGGCCGAGCTAGTCCCGTAGACTACATTTCGTCATCAGTCGATGTCGACTTATAGATTTTTTTTTTTGCAAACTTTGAGCTACAGTCAACCTCTATGTGTAAGAGTTGACATAGGAGTAAGCAAGTATGCTGTATTAAGATTATCATTTTACATATCTACATAAACATAATATCTACAGCCAGAGTGATCTGTAACCATTCGCGGTAATATTTGGCCAAAATATGCGCTCTTAAAGTTTTGATGATTTTCATGAGGGCGTGAGTTCGTAAGCTCAGAGTTCGGCGATCAATACAGATAAGGGTTTACTTTGAGCACGCTCTATGAGCACTGTCTTTATTGCTTTCAAATTACAAAAAGGAGTAGGTAAGTTTTCCAACATATACACGAAAAGGGCAGACAAATTTAGGAACTTGCGTAGTATTGCAACATTCCTCTCAGCATGACTTTGCTAAAAGAACTTACGCTGCACAAAGAGCACTATTTTTGTAATCAGAGAGTCTGAAAACCTCTATGGACGAAGCTTCCGTTCAATCCAAGATCATATTTTAGCCAAAGCCCGTCGGCGAGCTTCACAGCCCAGAACGAGAATATATCAAAGGGCCCGAAATTCTCGGAAAACTCGCGCATAAAGGTTATCTAGTCTGCTGATCACGAGAAACACACCTGCTTTGCAAGATAGCTTCTTATTGTGTGGCTACGGTAGCTAAAATTTGAGCGACATCGATTTTTTCGGAATTCACCGACCTATCTTTCTCTATGGTAAGAATATCTTTGCTAGTTGCTAGCGCATTATAATCTACGGGAACAGCTCTACAGGATCTTTTTTACACGATCGGTGTGCGTTCTTCGCTGAGTTATACCACTACGAAAACCCGTTTTCACACAAAAATTGAGCAGACTGAAAACGAAATAGTAAGTGCTGTAAATCACAAGATTCATCTTGATGAGCTGCATCATGCTTTTTTTCGAATTCGTATTTTCTGCGATCTGAAGGGAGATACGAAAAAAAAACCAAAAAACGCGAATCGTCAGTTTTTGCGTTTTTTGTCGAATAATTAATGCGCGTACTGTATCGACATCTGTTAGAAATAGTGATACTTACTTTGAAAGCAGAAATGAAATTTCTCGTATCTTTTTATGGAAATTGTGCGTTGTCCAACTGACGTAAATACTTTGCCATACAGGCGCACGTAATAAACTATTTAATTTTTGTTTTTGCTGCATTGTTGTCTTTATAAGAAGGGGAAAAAAGTAGAGTAAGAAAGTATTCACCTTTCGCGCAAAATCGCTTTTATAATGTTGCAAAATTACGTTCTTACGTTAGAAGTAGCTCACTAAATTCCACTTGCACCTTGTCCTTCATTTCCTCAAACAAACTCACTGCCGAAAGTTGGGCTCAAGAAGAATAAATACATGTAGCATAGCACGCTATTAAGATTGATTTATATCAAACACGTATACGAACTGTAAACAGATCTTATAAATTTATGGAAAAAAGTTGATTTTGGAAGTTATGATATTTTGAGTTTGAAAATTCAAATCGGACAGAACTTACGCAGCAGCCTATTCTACCTTGATAGTATTTGATAGTACTATATTGCAATTCTGTGAAGTTGCGAGTGTTCAATTTTTACTCTTCCTATTTAACCGGTACCTGGATGAGCTTCAACCAAATAAAAGAGAAAATTTTTCTGTTCTCTACTTGTCAAGAGAGCGAGCCTTTTTTCGAACAGGGATCAATATATCCAATAAACATAGTCCTGGTTTCAAATTTGAATTGTACTTGCTTTGTTTATGTCCCAATCAACGTGAAAGACTTCATTCCTTTTGCTGTTGCTGCCTGCCTTTTTCAACGAGATAGTGGAAAAATTACGTGCAGCCACACTTTAGCCGGTGATTTCGCGCTTATTACTTCAATGACAGTGTGGATTCTTGATTGATTTGTTTTCCGAGTCAGAATTGTTGTAATTTGCAAAAACATTTTTCTGATTGAGTAAAATATAATAAATGCACCTTGCTATATGAAACAGTAAGACGCATACGGGGAGATTCCTCGCACACAAATTGAAGGGGGTTCTGACCACCACTGTGCCTCGAAACGTTGAAGATTGAGTTATAAGCAGAATATCTGAGAATGCGTTGTGTAAATCAAATTGGGATCTACGCAGCGCTTCGGTTAGAAAATCTGGCTGTTGAAGGCGCCCCGAATTTGAGATTGGTAGATTTCTGATAAAGAGCTATAGCATCATCCCATACACGCGAAGCGATTTTCTCCCTCTGAAATGCACATTTTGTAGACTTGGGCAACTATGTAGTTAGTGGCTATCTATTGTTCCCCATGCAAATCTAACCCATCTCAAACGTAGTGGAGCATGCTCTAGTGGTTGATTGACAGCCAATTCTCATATCAAAATCATGCAGAAGTCTTTAGCGCGGTATTGATATAACTAATCTTGAGGTAAATAATCTCACAATTGTCAGATCTTTTTTGGGTTGTGTTCGTCTTTGGTGACTTCGCAAGTCCAAATTCACACATTGACTACTCTCAGCTCAATACTGTAACCAATGCGTTATGAACTTTGCTCTTGTAAGAGCATGTTTCAAAACTCGATTGCAGATTGAGCGTTCATACACAGCACACTCGGGCAAAGCAGTCAATATCATCCGAAAGACAAGTGTTATTGCACGCAGATGGCAGTGGTCTGAATGACAAACATTTCATTTTTTATAGACTAAAAAATGTGAACTTAAGAAGAGCTTCGACAAAATAGATGCGGGTTCGTCATACGTACATTCATGGAATTCATCTTAAGCCTCTTCAAACCTGCCGCAAACCTTGATGCACACATTCCTCTTTTGCTTTGAAAACTACCGCGCAAAACCACCTCAATCCTTTAAACCGTGTTCGTTCTTGCGAATTAAAAGTCGATTTCTTGTGTGTCAACAACCTTACTTAACCAACGCCAATAGATATCAATTAAGCAAACAAAGCTAAGCTTTTTGAGCAACCTGCTCTTTACACCTCTAATCACCGGCGCAGAAATGGCAGGGCCGCGGGGTTTGCCCAGCGGGGTTTGCCACTCGTGCGCCGGAGCCCTTCCATTTTGTGCTCCGCAGCCCTCCCACTTTGTGCTCCGGAGACCTCCCATTTTGTGCTCCAGAGCCCCCCATTTTGTGCTCCGCAGCCCTCCCACTTTGTGCGCCGGACCCCTCCCATTTTCTGCTCCGCGGCTCGTCC